TCTTGTCCAAATAGATTGCCTGTGTAGAGAAGAAAATAATTACAATGGGATTATCCATGGATTCTGTGTATGCTGTCTTTCACAAATGCATATCAGTTAATCAAACACAGAATCCTGGATAATGAAATGCAAAAACTAGTTAGCAATGCAAATAAATCCTGCTCCCCCTTAAATTTTGGAATTGTCCCAATTATTGGCCATCTGCCTTCTTACTTATCAGCCCTCCATGCCCCACAACTGCGCCAAGCATTTGCACTCACTAGATGCAATACCATTCCATCTGCTGTCACTCATGGTAGATATAAAGGGATATCATATTCAGCAAGACTCTGTGTATGTAATCTAAATCAAGTTGACTCGGTTTTCCATATTCTCCTATACTGTCCCCAATATGATAATATACGTTTTACTCTTTTAGACCCAATTTTATCTAACATGATAGGCTGCCCAGATGCTCTGAAGGTGCGCCATCTCCTGAATGATTTGTCACCTGAAATAACTGAAAAGGTTGCCTTATTTCTAAGTTTGGTAATTAAGGATCGATTGCGCAATGCATAGGTGCATATGATTGACTCATTTCTCCTTGTTACCCCCTTTATCTGTTTATATTTCTTCCTGTAACTTGACATATGGCAATAAAGGTATGTGTATGTGAGTACTTCCCCTCTGCTCAAGCTTGAACTGCCCTCAAACTGTCCAGAAGATGTGTTCCGTCTGGCGCTAAGTCAAGAGCCTTATGGATGTGATTCAACGCACGGCCAGAGTAAAGGAGAATTAAATCATTTTTTATTAAGTTCCTCCACATGCATTCAGAAGATTTCTTTACTTACAATCAAAGCTGAATAACTGGTGAAGTTCACATCTTTGTAAAATAATTCAGTTCACTGGCTCATGGTGAAAAAGATTGCGTGCTCCCACCTCCTTGCCGTTTAAAGAGTAGACAAAGAAACGGGAAGAGAGCTGTAAACTCAAATCCTCGCGCCTCTGGGTGCAGGAAATGACTGTTAATCAGCCAGTCACAGGGATGCTTTGGGATGCCTAACTAAAGACTTCAATTCCCAGGGGCAACTGCTCTTAAAGATATATGGCAGTTCTACTTAACTACAGTTAAATGCTGACTGGGGGCAGCACAAGATGTGTTTTGCAATCTCACTTTGAAAATCAGATGGATAGGTGTGCCCCCCCACCCTGGATTCCCCCAAAGCATTGATCAACATCCTTCCTCCAATCTGTTTCTCTTTACGGGGTGGTCTGCAACACACTCCCTTGCCATTTTATCATCTTTGTTTCTACTTTATTTTTACCTGGAGAACTCCCACAGATATACAATATCCCCAGCTATTTCCTTTTCAGAATGCTCTGTACTAATCATCTGTGGGGTATGCTGTCCATGAGGACTGCTCCATCAAGTAACAGTTACTTCAGTGTAATAATTTTGCTTTCCCCTTTTCCTTTCTTTCTCTCTTGTTTTTCGTTGATTGCCCCTTATAAAAATATTGGTTATGCTTACCTCCCAGATTCCGAGAACTTGGCTAGATGTTTGTGTTTACTGGATTATTTAAATGTTAAGATTAAACAGAAAATGAATACTGGGGTGGAATCTGTGGACAGCACCTTTCTTAAGTGGGAAAAAAATCTGGTGACATGAAGGCAATTGCTTGATTTTGTGGCTAGTCCTTTCACATAAATAAATAAGCCCTCTCTAGGTTCTCTTCCCCATCCCCATCCTACTCTTGTCTGTCTAATTTGGATTGGCAACCTCTATCACAGGAGTGGAAGCATTTCTAAGTCCTCCACTACACTGAACACACACCATAGGTGTGTTCCAAAAGTAACATGGATTTTTCTTGTATAAATATTACCTACTAATGAGGTCAGTAAAGGCCCAATACTATTTCCATGGGGAAAATATTCGGACACTTGAAGGCAACCAAAGCGCTGAGCCACAAACAGCTGAATGTGGAGTACTCTGGTCACACAGCCTATGCATATTTACTGGGAAGGAAATTCTATTTAATCAGAGTTTAATCCCAGGTAACTACATACATCATTGTAGCCCTCATCAGAATTCATTTCTCGATCTTTTATCCTTAGTCGCTGTTTCTGGATTCCTTCTGAACACACAGACACACAATTTAACATTCATAATTTCTACACCAATCGCAAGATTTGGGTTCTGTTCAAGAAACGCGAAAGCAACTGGGGCAGCGGCACATTGCTCACTCTGTAAATGATTAACCAGTAATATTCCCTCCCCCATCCTCCGTACCGTTCTGAAAAAATGTTAATCCCCCCTTGCCTGAACTAGGGAGTGTGTTTTGTTTCCTCATCTTAACCTAGATCCCTTGCCACTTGCCAGTCTCCTTCCACCCCACCTCTCCTGATCCTTTTTCCGACTCACAAAAAGCACATTTACTGGAGGAAGAATATTCTCCAGCTCCGACTATGTTCATGAGAGAGAGGAAAACCGACAAAAAGCAACGGATCTCGCCCGCAAACATCACAGTCGGCACCAGACTAGCAGAAGATTTCAATTTCCTTTTCCTCCACGAGAAACTCAACACTCTTCGTCCTAGTCCCGTTTCTTGGGGGGAAACAGGATTGTTTTAAAGACCTAACATACAGAAAGATTGCAACAAGAGCTCGTTCTAGAACGCACAAGGGCTGCTAGGTGGTAGAAGCTGGGGGAGGTTGTGGAAGAGACGAGATACTAACCGCGGTGCATTGTGGGCCACGCTCTGGTTTCTACATAGTCGCAAAGGCTGCTGGGGGGAAAACGGGAGGCGGGGACGGAACTGTGAGCGGTAGTCGCGGGCCCGGTTGGAGGGAGGGGAGGAGAGGAAGAGAACCGCTATCGCCTCCCCTCGCCGTCTCCTCAGTGCCGCCACGGGGGACGCCACCGGGCCCAGGTCTCCGCCGCTATCGCCTCCCCTCCTCCTTGGGAAAGGGCAGCCCCGCGTGAGCCGCCTCGGAGCAACCTCGGATGTGCCACACCAGCAGCAGTGGGAGCCGGACTGGGCAGGCCGAGCGCTTGAGGGTGAGAAGCGGAGAAGAGGCCCCCCCGTTCCCGCCGTGTCTTCCTTAAGGCTTCCGGCGGGAGAGGCGCCACCCCACCCCCTTCGCTCGACTCCCGAGGAGGAGAAAGTCCAGGGACCCCCCCCCCCATCCTCCTCCGCGCGCCCCTTTCCCTCGCCTTCGCTGCTTGTAACTTCTCCGCTCCCCTTTCTCGGCTATCCGGCTCGGGGGGGTGGGGTGGGGGGGGATGAGTGGGCTGCGTCTGTAGGCTAGTCTGTGACTTTTCAGGGGGAGGACGGCTGGCTCCGTAATCCCAGGAAAAATCTCTGTAGCCCCCCTCCCCCGTCTCCTGGCGCTTCCCTGCTCCCAGCAGCCTTCCGCAAAATCTCCGTTTAGCAGGAATAAGAAATACACGAGAGAACACTTGGGGAGCTCAAGAAAGGAAGAGGCCCTACGCTGACTAACGGGAGAAGAAAAAGAGGAGCACCTCCCGGCTCCATCGGTAAAAGGGCGATACCTTCGACTTTGTTTCTGTCGATTTTCCTTTTTTTAATTAAAGTAATGCCGTCGTGACCCGAAGTGAGGTTTCTGTACTGTGCCCTGTTGCTTGTCGGTCCAGGACACGACACGGAAGGTCTTCCCCCACCCCCGTACATGCTTCTCCCAGCCGGACTCCTGAAAGACTTGTGGGCCAGGATTAGAAAAAGAGGGAGCTGAAGACTCCTTGTTCGTATCCATTCTTCTGCTCTGGAGAATTTGACTAGTTGGTGCTCCTTTTCTCAACACGATAATGTATTGCCTTGTGTTGGTTTCTGGGCCGGAGACGTATTAATGAATGGACATCGTAGTCAAGCTGAATGGCTGCTGTGCTGTTTGAAAGGTTTTTGGAAATCATCATGCAGAGTTACTGAAAACAGCTGATATTACTGGAATACATTGGCCTCTGGCAAAGCCTCTTTGTTTCATCAAAAAAAGTAAGTGAAGTAACGGGAACGTATAAAAGTGTGTTTTTATTTGCAGCTATAAAAATGATCAATAGAGGACTCAATATGTTGTACTCACTCTCTTGGGTAAGCTCTGATTATGTTGCTCCATGTTTAGCATTAAGTTTATTTTCCTTATGTTCTTCATAATATAATTTTAAACGTATGGTGAGGCGAATTGTTCCCATTGCACAGCCCTTGAGCAAATTGCTTGCTTATGTTTAAGTGAATCATTATGGGCATCTAAAAAGAGCTTTTTTAGAAGAATTATTTAAATGAGTTGGTTTAATAGAAAATAGCTGTTTAGTTTTCTGGCTCAGTTTAGGGGAGTCCTAACTGTTTAAAGTTATTCCTTAAGTTTTGAGATACTATACCAACATACAACAGCCAACATGCATCTTTTATATCAAAGAGATAGAATCATTCTGTGGCTTTTCTCAGAAAGTGCTGGTAAATACAGCCCATTGTTTATCAGGATGTTCTATAGTCACCATCTGTAAAACATGCTACTATGATCCACTACCTTGCAAAGAGGTGAACTTGGGTTTTTGTGGGGATTGTTGTGCTCAGGAGCCTTCTCCTTAACTGATGGCTTCATCTAGCTGCAAAGTATTCTAAGGTTCACTCTGTGGTGGCAAAGTTCTGTTAAAGAGACTATATAGCTAGCACGATGAGCTCTAATTGAATGGCCTACATCCAGTCTTATCTGGCTTTCATGATGGCAGCAAGCAGCTTTAAGAATTTGGGAATGCTTTTTCCTTCAAATAATTGACAGCACTAATTTTAACAAGGCTAATTGTGATTAGGATAGAATAGTTGAAGTGTAACTAATCTATGTTAAATTATCTTGAGCAAGGGAATAGTCTCTTGAATTATGCTACAAGTTCACAATTTGCAAGCAAATTAAATGTAGAGAACAACTGTAATGTAATGTGATTGTAAAACCACTTGTTTTCTACTGCTATAGCTACTGCTATCAGATAGGAGAGAATTGGGAAGTCCTTGTTATAAAGTTTGGTATAGCCACTACATGTAAGACTATTCTGCATTCGTAATTATTTGCATTTTTAATAGTATAACTAAGTCTGAAACTTCCTTTAAAGATGATGTGCGAGGTGATGCCAACTATCAGTGAGGCAGAGATTCCCTCAGGGGGAGGTGGAAGCCATGGTTCAGGTTCCCCCCTACAGTCCGATGCTGATTCCCATTTTGAGCAATTAATGGTATCCATGTTGGAGGAGCGAGACCGCCTGCTGGACACACTACGAGAGACTCAAGAGACACTAACATTAACGCAGGGCAAACTGCATGAAGTTGGTCATGAAAGGGACTCTCTACAACGACAATTAAATACTGCACTTCCCCAGGTATGTTTTAAATGAGTGGTCATTTCCAAGTTCAGGTTAGATCACATCAGCAATCAAACCTTTCCATGTAGTTCAAGGTGGCTTACAATAATAGCTAAAAACAACAATATGGGAAGGAGAAGTATTGAAGTTTATAAAATACTTATGGTAAACTGATGTCGTCTTTGCTAATTGAAAAATCTGCCTTCAGCATTTCATACTTAATAGAAATTTTCAGTCTTTGAAGTAATAGCTGTTCGTCACTGAGGACCACCTCTCCCCATACTGTCCAGCCTGCCATTTAAGATCTGCTGAACAAGCACTGTTCTCTATGCCCTTCAGAGGTGAGGTGGGTGGCAACTAGAGACAGGGCTTTTTCAGTAATGGCACCTTGCTTGTAGAATGCCCTGCCCCTTAAGGCTCACCTGGCACTTATGGTGCTTTGTTTTAGGCATCATGTCAAAATGTTTCTCTTCACCCAAGTTTTAATGAATGGGTTGATTTTTTTAAACACTGTTTTATCCAGGAAATTGTGGTTCTAAGTTGTCTGTTGTCTGGTTTTTTATGATTTGTTTTTATGCTGGGCTGGGGCTGTTTAATGCTGGCTTGACTTAATATCTTTTCATGTTTCCTTGTTTCTGTAGAGCTGACATAAAAATGTCCTAAGTAAAATACTTTGGACAAAAAGGTTGCTTGTTGAAGCAAATATGGTTACTTTTCTTCTACATTAAAGTAGTATAATAGTGGACACAGTTGACTTGCCAGTAAATATAACTGTAGTTTAATCATCATCATACTTATAGTGTTTGGATTAGAGAACATGAAACCAAAGATCTAGGGGTCTGTAGTTTTTAAAAAAGAATAGTTACGTCAGAGGTTGCAGAGGCAACAACCATAGTGCTGTACTTTGTTTTCTCCACATGAAGAAATGCAGCAGTGCTCTTGCTGCCATGGCCACTTTGGAGAGTCAGTCTCTGTCAGGAAAGAGACAGAAGTTTGCATCAACCATAGTATGGTGTCCTGTTTCTACACATGAGGAAACATGGCAATTTGAAGTCACTGTTCTGTGGTCTATGCAAGTGAATGAGTGTGTATTTCTCTTCCTTGCCATGAGAGAGCAGCCATATGAGAAGCAGCCATGCATAGTACATCATTCTGGGGTTTTTTTGGTAGGGGAAATATTGAGGCACTTAAGCCTCTGCGTAGATTCATGTTCTTAGGGTATTCAGTCTGGTATTCAGAAGGTTGCTGAGTAGAAATGTTAGAGTACAAAATGGGCTCTACTAGAAAAATACAGCACACTTTTACTTTTTAAATTTGCTGAAGAATTCAAGCTGGTAAACTGGCCCTTGTATTGAGACAGCAGATCTTAAAAGAAAATGATAACCATCCAATAAACTCTTTCTGTATCCCTTCCCTCAGTAGTTAGTAGGTTAAACGATATGTGCACATGCAAGATTCAAGTCTGTACATGGACCATGTCCAAACTGTGATGGGAAAAAGCAGTTCTTACTGTCTTTTGCCACAGCCATTTCAAAAACTCATGCATGCTCACCACCAGCACTACATAGACAACTTCTATCCACCTTTTCTAATACCAGTACAGTTTATACTCTGGTGTAAGGATTTATTCTGGAGTTTGGAAGGCTGAGAGGTGGTCTGTTCCTGCTTGGAAGACTTGGGTAGCAAGTTAAGAAGAGGGTGCCGCTAGTGTTGCTGCCTAGGAGGAGGAGAAATCAGATAGTTAGCTCCTCTTGTTCCATTTGTCTTAGAGTGTTAGAGAAAGTAGTTCTTTGAAAGCCAGCTAGCTACCAATGGTTTTAATGCAGAACTGTAGAACAGTTGCTATGGCATCTTCAGTATGGCATTGTGTTTGCCTTTGCATCACAGTATTAAATATATTTGAATGATTCAGAAGCAATGCAGTAAAACTTTACCAACTTAGAGGACCTTTCCATTGTACATAATGACATGCTTTTTTTGAGAAGTGACTGGTTAATTGCTTGTTTCCCAAGTAGTGTTTTAGTGTTAGGTCTCTTCAGTATGTGAACATACTTATTCAGTAATTTTAGAAATGGATCTTGGGGTAGATCTTCGTTTTTAACAAGCAAGTGGGAGGAGTGAGTGTGACATTATTAAGAATCTGCCTCAAGTTTTGTCTAGAAAAGTGATAGCATATAATCTTTACAATGAAGGAAAGGAGACCAATGATGGCCAATCCTTTGGTGTCTCTTTAATACATTGTTACAAGACTGCTGTACCCATCATCGGGATTCGTGCTTGGTTCCCCTGATATTTAGCCTCAAAAAGCAGCTATAAGGTGCCATTGGTATGAATTGAGGCTTAGGAAGGTTAGCTTGTAGCTCTCCCCCTATTGTTTACCCAGTTGAAAATAGTCACTCAGGGATGTTTTTAGCTCTAGTATGAGAAAGAAAATAAGCACAAACATGTATCCCCCCCTGCGTAAATGAAAAACAACCCATTGAGACCAGTTTCAGTTGATAAAATGGCTTGGGAAAGGTTAAAGCCCATCTTTTACAAGTACCACGGACCAAATTTATATTGGGGGTGAGGCCATACCTACTTTTTGAAGCTAAATTACACATGAAGGGCTCCAAGTATAGTTCCAGTATTATGTCTGTTTTTGCCCTAACATATTTAGTATAACTCAATTACAGAGTTTAGTAATCAGTATTGCACAGCTTGAACATTGGAAGAGGTTAGGGATCATATTTGTGTTATGTTGTGACCTGGTCTGAGCCTTGCAACAGCAGGAGAGGATGGGCGAAAAGTTGAAGATACTACATAAATAAATAAAATACAGTTTTCTCTTATCCTGGGCAATAGACCTAATGGGCAGAGAGGGTAAAATCCAGTACCATTCATGCTAACTAGTTGACAGAGATTGGTCCTGTGGCTTTACATATATTTTGAACAAATTACTGATGGCCAAGTCTGAGAAAATGATGTCCTAGGACCAGTGTTCCCTCTAAGTTGAGTTAGTGTGAGCTAGCTCACAGTTTTTTAGCCTACGGCTCACAGATTTGTTGTTTTAGCTCAGGAAGGATGGCTCCAGAGCAAACTAATTTATGCACTAGCCAAATTGCTTGCTCACAACTTTAATGCCAGTAGCTCACAAAGTAGAATTTTTGCTTACATGACTCCACAGCATAGAGGGAGCATTGCCTAGGTGCCCATGGGCCTCTAAAGAGTTGTAGAACTGCTTTCTATAATGGGATCTCAAGATGAAGAGAGTAGCTATAAAATTAGTAACATTATATTTAGGACTTTGGTGTACAATTCGCCAAGCTCTAGCATTTGTAATTGTCTGCACAGATATGTGATGTTGACATCAAATTTGAAGCTGTATAAAAGATTCATATATTAATCTCCACTACTCCCACCCAAAGTAAATTCTTCCTGTGTAACTGAAGGACCTTAGCTCCCTCTAGTCTTGATATAAACACAAGTTGACATTTTCAAAGATTTTTAAGTGCTTCATTACTGTTTTCAGTTTAAGGTCTAGTGTTCATGTGTTATGAGAATTAGAATAACAAAGTTAAATGCATCTATAACTGAATATTGCATCTATAACTGAATATCTTCAGGGGGGGAATTATTTTAAATGCATCTCTGATCAGGGGGTTAGTCCTGATAATCCAATATACAAACTGCCTTTTGTCTGAATTGGAATTCTGTGGTTAATAAACTGCATCAGTTTACAGAATAGACTGAAATTTTGGAATGCTTTCTGACAGTTATAAATTATAGTCATTTTAATTAATGCTGTGTAAGTGGAACATTAAGAGTCCAAGATGGGAGAAAACACTGGAACAGAAACTTGTTACAACTTTTAAGTTCTAAATTAACAAACTTCAAAGGAGATGCAAGTTGTATGTGAATATTTTTGGTTTCACTGAAATGTTGCCTTAAATTATAGAGTACTTCTCCTGAAAGTCTGTTGACAGAGGAGCAGAACAAATTACTCAAAATAAGCTGAAATCTGAAATGATTTGAGACCCAGCAAATGCTTGTTATATACTTTAAGCCTGCATGACTCTCTTCTACTTGCAATTAATAAAATACCCAGGGTATTTAGCTGTCTAGCAATCCATCAGCAGAAGGCACTAATGGTCATGGATCTTTCCCATGTTCTGCTCCCCCCCCCCCCCCAAAATCTATCCTCTTTCACTTCTGGACAACTTGTTGGCATGGTTGTGGTACGTTTGTGGATTGATGGCAGGTCAGGAAGTGCAGTGGAGAGAGGAAAAGGGGTAAAATCCTCTTGTCAGTACAGTTCACTGGATCCAACTGCTTTTATTGGATTGTAGCCTTGCACTGTAAAAGAAGGGTGGTGAGCCTGTGTTTGAGTTTGTGACACTTCTGGTGAACTATAGTTATGGGGCAATTTGGTGCTCCAGCATTTTCTCCTGTGTTAATGCTAACCCCTTTTGAACTGGCTAGGCACACAGTATCCAGAGTCATGGGGCAGGAGGAGTAGAAGCTGCAAATGTTGTGAAGGGTGTTCTAGGTTGCCATTATTTCATTCTCTAGGTGTTGGTGTCTTTAATACACAGCAAAAAGTGGCACTTGAAGTGTTAACCTGGGCATGTTAATGGATTAAGTTAGCTTTGATCTTTTGACATACCTGCTTTCAGAACCATGAACATTAACTAGTATCTGATTATGCAAAAAAATAGAATAGGATTGGTATTTGCTGCTGAATAATTTGCAGTGCTAATTGAAACCTTGTGCTTTCAAACTGTAAGCAGTACAAATCAAGCCTTTATTTTGAAAATTGAAATTGTGTTGAACATTATGTATATATCTGATTTTTGCTGTTGGGTTAATGGTTGAAGTTTGAAATAGTTTATATGGGTGTGGCTCTACGATTCTGTGCTCCAGTACTGAATAGATTTTATTAATCTAACCATGTAAGCATGAGAGAAAAAAGTAGTCACTAAAGTGCATGGCAAAGCTTAGATGAAAAAGGGATACTTGACTCATTGTAAACAAAGTTT